AAATCCGCGTGCTGTGCTGTGGGTACAGCCACTGCGGGGAGCCCACGCCCCCCACCACCACTGCCACCGCATCCACTGCCACAGCCCCCACGGCCACCACCTCCACTGCCACAGCCACCACTGCGGCCACCTCTACAGCCACCACTGCCACAGCCCCCACGGCCACAGCCCCCACGGCCACCACCTCCACGGCCACCACCTCCACTGCCACAGCCACCACTGTAGCCACCTCTACAGCCCCCACGGCCACAGTCCCCATGGCCACCACCTCCACTGCCACCACCTCCACTGCCACAGTCTCCACTGCCACCACCTCCACTGCCACAGCCCCCAGGGCCACCACCTCCACTGCCACAGCCACCACTGTGGCCACCTCTACAGCCCCCACGGCCGCCACCTCCACTGCCACAGCCCCCACTGCCACCACATACACTGCTACAGCCCCCACTGCCACCACATTCACTGCTACAGTCACCACTGCCACCTCTACAGCTCCCACTGCCACAGCCCCCACGGTCACCACCTCCACTGCCACAGCCACCACTCCCACCTCTACAGCTCCCATTGCCACCATATCCACTGCCACAGCCACCACTGCCACCGCATCCACTGCCATAGCCCCCAGTGCCACCTCTACAGCTCCCACTGCCACCACCTCCACTGCCACAGCCCCCAGTGCCACCACCTCCACTGCCACAGCCCCCATTGGCACCACCTCTACTGCCACAGCCCCCACTGCCACAGCCACCACTGTGGCCACCTCTACAGCTCCCACTGCCACCACCTCCACTGCCACAGGCCCCACTGCCATCACATCCACTGCCATAGCCCCCACTCCCACCTCTACAGCTCCCACTGCCACTGCATCGACTGCTACAGTCACCACTGTGGCCACCTCTACAGCCCCCACTGCCACCACATCCACTGCCACAGCCCCCACGACCACCACCTCCACTACCACAGCTCCCACTGCCACCACCTCCACTGCCACAGGCCCCACTGCCATCACATCCACGACCACCACCTCCACTGCCACAGCTCCCACTGCCACCACCTCCACTGCCACAGGCCCCACTGCCATCACATCCACTGCCACAGCCCCCACTCCCACCTCTACAGCTCCCACTGCCACAGCCCCCACAGCCACTATCTCCACTGCCACAGCCCCCACTGCCAGCGCATCCACTGCTACAGTCACCACTGTGGCCACCTCTACAGCTCCCACTGCCACCACTTCCACTGCCACAGGCCCCACTGCCACATCCACTGCCACCACCTCCACTGCCACAGCCCCCACGACCACCACCTCCACTGCCACAGCCCCCACTGCCACCACATCCACTGCCACCACCTCCACTGCCACAGCCCCCACGACCACCACCTCCACTGCCACAGCCTCCACTGCCACCACCTCCACTGCCACAGGCCCCACTGTGGCCACCTCTACAGCCCCCACGACCAC